ACACTTGCCTCTCACACACGCATAAGTAAACACATTATACTCTTTTAGATTGACATACAGAATAACTCTGAAGTCATTCAACAGACTATTCAAAAAGACATTAAGAACAGAATAGCGCATCTCACAAGACACAAACCCAAGCACTTCACTAACCGTGCTCGAAATAGCAACATTTTTCCCTTCATGCAGCGTCTCCCAAATGCGATTGGCAGGGTGATTGAACTGTGTAATTAGCTGTAATTAGCAGTCATTAGGGTTGTTAAAGGTCCCCTCGTCAGGCCTCAGGCGCAGGTGTGGGGTTTCGCCATGATTTAATGCCTCCAAAACAGCTTTTGTAACCCTTGTCATTATAGTACAGTTATCCAGCTGTAAGCCAAGTTTGCTGAAGCTTACTTCATTACTATCATTGTTACTACTGTGCATTTAGGATTCTTAATTGAACAATCCCTTAACTGTAAAGTCACATTAGCATGTGAAATTTAATACAAAAAATATCCATTGTCTATTGTCAATAGTGTAGCCATTTATGACGCACTTTCAAACCAAACAGCTTTTTGTAGGTCAACGTGCATAAACAACTTGAACACAAGCACAATCTGAAAGGGGAAATATTTTGCCCTCACACAAAATTCCCACTCACATGTATTCCTATTGAAATGAATGGATTATACTGGCGAAAATTCACCAAACAATGGTAAATATGACCGCACCTTAAATATTTACTGGTTTCTAAAGGTGAGCAAATGCTGACAGAATTTTCATCTTTGGGTGAATAATATCATTTAACATCTAATTTACATCTTGACACAAATCTCTGAAATTATTGTTTAAGTAAAATAATGTTATTAATAATGAATATCAATATTGTTAATGTAATTAATAATACAGTTAATCACTTAATAATACAATTAATGCATTAATACTAGAGGTCGACCGATGTATCGGTTTTGCCAATTAATCAGCACCGATAGTTGATTGCTGGAACTATTGGTTATCGACAAAAATCCATGCCGATAGTTTTCCAGGTTGCGTCCATTGCTGGAGCGGCTGAGAAGGGTCTGCTGTCATTACACAATGCGAGAGCGGCCTCTAGTGGTTGAAATCACTGACCGCACGTGCTATTTGTTTAGACGCGTGCTATTTGTTTAGACACTTGATACTGCACAACAGAGCGGGAAACTTCAGACGCGGATTTAAATGCAGCCGACAGAAAATCCTGCCGCGCCACAGAGTGCCATTCACATAGTTTTCCTTTAAATTACATTATATTGGTCCCGAATCATTGTTAATGTACATTATGAATTGTGTATTGCGCATTTTCAGCAAAACGTTTTTCTTTCTGTGGCTCTAATATAGTCTGTGTGCTTCATTTATAGAGCTATAATAGCTATAGCCTTTGTGTATATATTTAAAGATGTGCATCTTTAAGCATGACAGTTCAAATGAAATGGTAGCACTTTAAAATAAGGGTCCATTTGTAGCATTAAGATTAATGAAAGCTGTGTAAGTATTGTTCCTTGTTAGAGTGCGTTCATTTCAACATTTACTATTAATATTATTTTTTTTTTTTTACTACTACTACTAGTATGGTTCAGTACTGTTTTTGTTATTAAAGCACTATTTTAGTTTTTGTTCAGTATCAATTTTAAAACTATCGGTTAATTAATCGGTATCGGCCAGTGTGGTTCAACCTAGCTATCGGTATCGGCAAAATCCACTATCGGTCGACCTCTAATTAATACTGTTAATTAAAATAAAATATATAATATTAATCCATCCATCCATTCTCCAAACTGTTTGTCCTTTGTATGGCTGCGTGGATATGAATTAATATTAATTAAAATATTTTAAAATATAAGGTTATTGTTATTGCTGTTTCATATTCATAACACTTTTTTGTTCTTTTTGCTGCTACAGCAGTGCATGAGATGTCTACTGTAATGTGTGCACTAATGTTTTACATAAAGTTCTCTAACTAGACAGTTTTTCCATTTACTAGGTATTTTCCTCTTTGATTTCTGGTTTCAACAGGTGGCCAGCGTATATTATTAGTTGCAAATACAAGTACTCCAAACAGCAGGGACGTACAAAACCCAAATCACCTTGTTCTTCATTTTCTTGAACAGCAGCAGTGGTCTGTCTTTAGCTGGATGTAATGAGCGTGCTGGCATTCGGCTCTGCTTAGGTAATGGAGCAACAGTGCAGGGACCCCCAGACGCAGTGAGACACTGAACTCCCACTGGCAATCTAATGAGCCTGGTTTGTTAACCGCGGCACAGAGAAATGTTTGTGAGGCAGGCCTTTACCTCCCTTCATGAGAAAGCACTGAGGTACAATAACATAGACTCAGATCAGAACCTAAATTGACTTTCTTACAGAAAGAAAAAGCAGGTGCTGAGTGACAATTTGACCTCGATGGGAAGGATACAGGAAGCTCAAAGGTTTGTTTGTGCAGATGAGGTGGAATAAAGACTTTAATGAGCGGAGTCAGACTAAAGAGCAGCAATAGCAGCAGCTCATTAGTCAATGTGAACTCTATACCCTCAACTAAACACACAAACTTCTTACAATGTCACAGATTGTTCAGCTATAATCCCCTGATGATTTCTCAGCATTCCTTTCCTCATATACATTCTGCAAAGGGACTTTTGTTATGTGTTTTCTTGCAATGTACAAAGCATAGCAATATTTGAACTATATTTTAATGTAAACAGCACATTGTCATTGTTTTGAAGCGATGAATTTTAAGCTTAAACTGCACAAAATGTCAAAATGGTTCCAGATTAGCTAAAAATGGTAGTTTCTAAAATCATATTGTTATTAATCCAGGGGAAAAACAAAACCAAAAACAAGATAGAAACAAAAAGAACAAAACACCAGTATGAAAAGAAAAACTATTTTGAATACATAGAACAGATAAATATTCCATCGGTTCTTGAACAACACATGCTCAAAACAAAATGCTCAATGAATGACACCAAATTTGGTAACTTTAAGTCTGTTTGTCTTCAATTTAGTTTCGAGGCACATACCTACTGTATGTCATTTCCCTTCATGCAAGACTGTGACATATGCAAGTATTTGAATAAATAAGGTAACAAGGCTAACAAGACTATAAAGTAGTCAAGTCAAGTCAAGTCACCTTTATTTGTATAGCGCTTTATACAATACAGATCGTGTCAAAGCAGCTTTACAGTGTTAAACAGGAAAAACGTGAGCTGATAATGCAAGAAGACAACAGAAAAAAGTCAGTTTATCAGTTAGAGTGTAGTCTCGTGTGTCCAGACATAAAATCAGGTCTATTTTGCACTTTGCAGCCTTTTTAGCAATGAAGGAAGAACAAAAGAGAATGGGCTTGTCCAAATACCCACACTTGAGGTATTTGCACTTGACCACTTGTCTATATACATGACGTATTTCCTGTTTTTGGCCCATGTGTTCAAGTGGGTGTGAAGACCACAAGTGTGTGTAGAGCTTTTTGTTACCCGATGGGACACACTTATAGTGTTGTAAAATTGCTAGTGTTTACAGAGCTTTATTAGTTTTTCAATACTTTGCATTTTAAAATAAACTTCTGAATGACTGTTCAGGAGTCTCTAACAGATGACACAATTTAGTAATTGTGGTGCTTCTGATTAAGTGATAAAAAGCAGTTGCAAATGTTTGCATCAATAAAATGTGCAACACTGTGTGTTTTACTACCAAATTGTATGTAATATCTAAGTTTATTATTCATATTTAACTTACACTGGAAAGGTTTCCGTGACATCTAGTGAGATCATGCCAAAAAGTCTCATGATTTATATCCAGAACATGATGCACGATGGGATATGCTTAGCTTAGATAGTGTGGATTTAGTGTGCATTAAGGGCACTGCACTTTGGAGTTTTTAAGACCTGGGACAGTATTGGGCACGTACTTCCTGTTGCGTGCACATGCTCTAGAGTGGCCAAGACTGCAGGTGTGGGTATACGGACAGGCCCAATGTTTGAATAACATGTAAAGTGCAGTTACTAGATGGGCAGACCTCTGACAATGTTGTTGGATCATACCATACAGTGATTCTCAACTCTGGTCCTGGGGACTCACAGCTCTGCACATTTTGTATGTCTCTCTATCTGACACATTAGCCTTGTCCAAATACCCACACTTGCGGTCTTTCCACTTGACCACTTGACTACTTATATGACGTATTTCCTGTATTTGGCCCAAGTGTTCAAGTGAGGATGAAGACCACAAGTGTGTGTCGAACTTTTCATTACCTGATGGGACACACTTGTAGTGTTGTAAAAATGCAAGTGTTTACATAGCTTTATTTTAATTTTAATTTTAAATAATTTGCATTTTAAAATCAACTTCTAAATGTCTGTTCAGTAGTCCATATAACATGACAATTTTAATTTGTGGTGCTTCTAATTAAGTGATAAAAAGCAGTTGCAAATGTTGTACAAAATAAATATCACCACTACTCATCTTTGCACCAATAAAACGTAAAAACACTGTTTTTCTACCAAATTATATGTAACATCTAATTAATATATTAATATTTAACTTACATTGGAAAGGTTTCCGTGACCTCTCGCGAGATTTCGGCAAAAAGTCTCATGATTTATTTCCAGAACATGATGCATGATGGGATACACTAAGCCTCGAATAGCGCTCCGGAGCGGTATTCGAGATAGTGTGGATTTAGTGTGCGTTAAGGGCACTGCGCTCTGGCGTTTTTAAGACCCGGGACAGTCTTGTGCACTTACTTCCTGTCGCGCGCACGTGCTCTCAAGTGGCCAAGACCGCAAGTGTGGGTATTTGGACAAGGGGATTCTGTTCAGTTCATAGAGCCCTCTCCCTAACAAGCTGATTATCTGAATCAGGTGTGTTAAATAAGGAAGACATACAAAATGTGCAGAGTGGGTCCGGAGTTGAAAACCAATGATCTATCACAGACTGGAAGAATATAGCTTTATGAATGGAGGAAACAAACCAAATAGAGCAGTTCTTACCCAAGAGGTTTCTCCATACGACCGCCCAACGAACCCACCACCTCTCCCAATGTACAAAAAGCCTGGCCAAGGAAATCCTGCAAAGAGAGAGTGCATTAAAGAGGACCGGGGCCATTTTTCAACATGGCAAGATGAAAGGTCAGTATTTCAAGTTGTCTATTTATAAGATTTCTTCTACTTTATCTGTAATCAATTGGTAAGAGTGAATATAAGCTTTGATTTATCAACTTGTGCAAATAACTTCAAAGTTAAGTACACTATATGGACAAAATTATGTAAACACCAAAACACCACAGCCCTGTGTGCTTGTTCAGCTTTTAATTTCAAAACCATAAGCATTTATAAGTTGTCCCTCGCTAAAAGCATGCTCCATTCTGGGAAGGCTTTCCAGTAGGTGTTGGAACATGACTATGTGGATTTTCTCTGTGGCGATGGGGTCTGGCTTGCAGTCAGTGTTCCAACTCATCCCTAAGCTCAGGTTTGGGATTGGTGCAAGCTTGTTTAAGTTCTTTCACAGTAAACTCAGTAAATCTTTTCTTTACGGACCTAGCTTTGCCCACCAGGGCATTACTATGCTGAAGCAGAAAATACCCCAGACTGTTGCCATATAGTTAGATTCTCTAGAATGTCATTGTTTGACATTATTTTATTTTAGGCTTTTACAGTTAAATGAGTGGAATCCACTGCCATAAATATACTGTATCTCTGTGGTAATTACAGTGGATAAAATAAATATAAAATTGAAAAAAAAAATCAAAAAATCAAAAATCAAATTTCAAGTTTAATAACCAATATACAATTGCTTTAAAGGAGTTGTAAAATATGCTGGATATTCTTTTTAATATAATGATAGGGAACAAAGACTATAGCTGTCAAGCTTCAGAAAGGACTATGAAAGCAATAATACAATCAAAAAACACTTTATTTTAAAGTCTGAAACTGTTCACACGCCATGTGGAAAAGTTGTCACCCCTATGATAAACAATCTGAAGTGAAGCACAATATTTTGCTGAGAAAAAACATAAGAATTCAAATGATTTTCTTGGAAGAGCTGTGAAATTCCACCTCTCTGACCTTCGCAACAACAGTTCCCTTTCATGGGAACTTCGAACTGCGTCCTCTAGGGGTCGCTATGGGGAACGCCTCGTCGTGACCCGTGTCTGAAGCATACATTGAAAAAAAACACCAACTCGTTGGCCGGCGACAGCCATGACTTCACTACCGGTGCGACTATAGTATAAATAGGCACCGGGAGCACACATCATTCTCTTCTTCGTCTTCATTGACTGTTCTGTTTGAAGCGTGCATTTCCAAGGAAAAAGTAAGAGTTATCTCTATTCATTACGGCGAGCACTAGCAAAGCATTTAGAAGGTGTGTGCATCCGTGTCATCGCTATTTGACACCCTGGGTTTAGCCCAGGAAGAGCAGGAAATGGATGAAGAGAGCGAAGAAGCTGAGGCTGAGCCGTCTCAATCCTCCTGCCCTGCGTATGATGAGCTTTTAAAGGTTATGGATCGTGCCACGGTGAGGCTTGACTTGCCGTGGAAGCGAACTAAGGAAGTGACGTCGCGAGGTCGTCTCGAGGAACGTTATCTTTCTGGCCATAACCCTCCAGCTCAGGTAAGCCTTCCTTTCCTTCCTGATCTCCACACTGAGATCGAGAAGGAATGGAAGAGGCCGTTTTCCTCACGCGTATACCGGTTTCAGCA